AAAAACGCAGCTGTACACCAAGATAGAGAATACACGTACAGCGAGACGCGTCGGCTTTGTCTGCAGCTATTTCACTGAATGGCCGACGTTGATGCTACGCTGCACACTGGTTTAAATCCGACAGGTTGCAAGCCGTTCGAACGCTTGTTTCCTGAAATGATTCAAAAGTAGAGACAGAAAATTAAGCAAAAAAGTTACTGATGCCTAAATGAATGATCTGTGAGAATTCGATGATTATTCGCTTTATTCAATACTTAAAATTATGACTTACAGCAGCACTGGTCCCCTGCTGAGTCACCTAAACTACTGACTATCAGTGAGTTATTTTGAAGAAGAGGAAATTGAGGAACACATTGGATGAACGCGAGTTTTCGACAAATTCAGCTACAGAATGCTGCATTTATTCTACAAGTGGGTATCAACAGTAAAATACGAACTCCAAGAACTGCATCTACAGTTCATTTGGAACTTTACAACTCCTATTCAAAGCTAACACGAGACGTCGAAATATTGCCAGGGATAAGACACATCAAGGCCATTTGTAACTGACCACGCTATGGTAATGAATCCCAGAGTAAATCATTATGGAAGAAACATGAGCATACTTTTGAACAAAGTTGCATATGAATAAAATCAGCTTATAGACTCGTGCCAACAGAGGTAAATCATTACCCTGCCACTGAATGAACTGACATATGTCACAGATCACTGAAGTTCAAAAGTAACTATCTCCACAGCGGCAAGCACGTTCCTCACCTTGTATTAAAGGCATTCGTTGCTGAATAATCTGCGTATTTATATGCAACTGATTTTCTGATATTCTTAAAGTTCTGACTGATTCAAGGAGAGGAGCATTTGCAACCTTGACGCACCTTCTCAAAATGTACTTGTAAATATACGGAAACAAAAATGAAAGATAGGTTGCACTGCAGTTAAAAGAAAATATTAAACTTAGAGGTTTACATAAATATCAACCTAGGTATTTCCTGCATCTACCAGGATCTTAGCCTGTCACTCGCTTCCCGTCTTTCATATGCTGTTTTTGCTTGGCCTTGCATGGTGGTCGGGTTTCGCAGCCCTACACTCAGATGCTAGAATACAATGGAACTAAGCCTGGTTAAACGAACCTCAAAGACCTAATAAGGATAGAGGGACGGCGCGAATACGCCATGCAAACCCGGAGAGCGACATGCGATTTTTATAAGATTTTTGTTTCACTGTTGCGTATTAAAATTCGTTAGGAGCCGTTATGTGGTTCACTTCATTAGAGCAATTATTAGTAACAAGTGATCGAGGACACCAGCTGCAATAACTTAGCAAGCTAATCATTATGCAAGAAACCTCTTCAATTTTACCTTTTTGTCAGAGTATGCAACTGCATCACAATCGTCGTTTCTGCTTTTGAAAATGTGAGAAGGGGAGGTAAGAATCTACGGAAAGTACAAGCAACTCGTTTATCCCTTCTGTGCTTAGAATTTCCCATTGACAACTAGAAGCAGGAGCAAAGCAGTACTTTAAAGATGGTTTACGTTACGACTAGCATTTCCGTATACTTTACAAAATTTAATTCAAATCAGGAAACCAGCGGATGCCATACCACTTAACCTTTTGCATTCACAGGAGGCGGGCTGTACCTATTGCTAATTGTAACAACAGCAGACAGTTAACTATGACGTTCATCAAAGCGAACTGCAGAATCAAGAGATGCCCGTAATTGTCACATCTGTTTGCATGCCAAAGACTTGTTCATTTTGACTGGCTCCGCTAAAGTAACATTGGGTGAATTCCTTACTCAACGTAATTTGCCGCTCAGATCAAATACGGAGGATTCAAAGCCGACCTCTTAAAACTGTGCAACCGCCCTATGACATCCGCCAGTTTTGCTAGAGCAGACTGGTGGATCACGGCACTACCATCGCCAAAAGCCATATTTAGTTCACGTAACGATTCTACTGCCATTCAAGCATAACTGAGGAAGATGTGCTTTTAAAGTACAGTAGTAGCACCCAAATTCCCAACAAAATTTTTAAAAGAAGTCCAAAGACGTGGGTTAACGACGTATATATTATTTTGCTACAAATCTTGCGAAGCCCTATTTATTCCACAACTTGACTACACATTCAGAATGGTAGGATGGTTCGCTGACGTTTTCAGTCATATGTTCAGTAAGTTTGTGAATAGTGCCATTAACCATGGTCGCTACAGTATTCGCTGCAGCAGTCGTACACAAATAATGCTTACCCATGTATTAAGCAAAGCACTGATAGAGTAGTTCCAACCAAGACTAGCAAATTTCGAGGTGAAGGTTTTATGGATCTCGTCCATGAGAGGTGTTCCTGCTGAAAACAATAAATTAAGAAAGTGAGCAATTCTTAGTATGAAAATAAGTTTACAACAACAGAAACAAAACGTATATCAAATAAAGATACTGACTGTACCTCCTATCGTTTGACCGTAAGAATAATAACCAGGCTTCGAATAAGTTTAAGAAGAATGTATAGCGAAGCCTGCATTATGTTGTCTCTTCCCTGTTACATAATGTCAAAAATAAAGAAAAAATAGCATCCTT